AGCAACTTTATGTGAAAGAATCAGATGGATGTGGAGCAAATTTCCATTCTCTAGACTATTAACAATGGCAATGAACATCATCCTATTTTGATTTAAGAAACCCAATCTGACAAAAACTTTGTGATGTGGAGAGGGCATTATGGTCTGCAACGGTGAAGGATGGTGGTCACATAGCCACTGAATAAGGAGTGTGAACGGAAGAGGCAGGGAGCCTCCAACAACGGAAGAAATCTAGGTGGTTTGTATTTTCCCAATTTTAGTTGATAAATGTAGGAGAAACTGAAGCTATTGCTGCCCAGTATTACTTGTTTTCTTTTTTTGATGATCATAAGACAGCTTTTGATAAAAAGAGCCTAAGGCCTATCTTAATTAATAAAACTGCCTACAAGTTTTTGGGGTTCTTAGAAGAGACAAGCTTAGTGTAAAACCATCATAGGTAGGTTAGCTGGGGGGAAGGGGCAGAAATAAACACAGTCTATCTAATATCTTAAATCCTTTTTACTCATTTCTTCTTTTCCTAACAAGTGATTTTTCTACTGGTTTTTGTAGGTGAAGTAATTCCAGCTAGTGATTACCATGTCTGACCGTTGCAATCTTCAGAAGCATCTCTTACAGGTGCAAACAAACAGTATGTTCTTTGGAGCTCCCAGTGTGGTTTAAACTCTAAAACTTAGCCTGTTTTGCCTTTGGATTTAAGAAAGTGGAACGTTAACAAACCTGATCAAATGGAATTATGGGAAGCGCTCTCTCGCCCTGCAAACTGTCATGGAGGAAGGGAATAGCTGACACCCGGCGAGAAGAATATCTAGATAAAGAGACTGAAACTTCTAGGTCCTGTACTTTAATGTGTAGGGCTTGTAACAGCAGAAAGCAATGAAGTTTTAGAGACTATCTGAAAAATAGTACTGGGGATATAAGATTGAGGGAGAGGAAAGGAGGCAGAAGATTCTGAGAGGCCCTTATGGACTCTGCTTTCCTGGCTAGTTAACAAAATGTATTCCCTGTAAATATATTGTAACATACAGCGTTTTATGGAGCCATAAAGGGGGAAAAAAAAAGACATTGAGAAAAGAGAAAGAGTACATAAATGAGTGGGAGCAGCATGAATGGCTCCTGCTACCTGAGCCAATTCATTAGAATTACAGATTACTAAAGTCTGTTTGAAAGGAGGAGGGGTGGGAAGAAGCTAGATCTTTCTTTTTTCCTAGCTTGATTTCTCCCTGTAAGAAACGTGTTTATCTTGGTGGTTGGGAGTTCACAGTATAGGTTTTACATTGTATAATCAGCCTGGGCTTTTCTAACCTGCAGTGAGCTTTCTTCATGTAAACTCTTCTGGCACTCATGGCGGTAAATTATCAAGAGGGTAACCAGTTTATAAATACATGGGGTATGTCCCCTAGTTTTAATTGACATAAAGTACTCCTATGCAAAGCCTTATTTTTGAGGAAGTGAAAAAGTACACACTTACTTACCCGAATATATAGGATAACCTTTACTGTCATGCTAGCTGGGTTTTACACAGCCAGGAAAGAAGTAGCTTCTGTGTCTGTTAGGGAAGTACTTCCCCTGTATGACAAGCGCAGCGCAGACTTGCGTGCCTTCATTACATGGGGGGTTGATGATGAAGCTTGGACCTGAAGTTCATCATGTCGGTGCTAGTGCGCCAGTGCACGACTAAGTCATTGGTCCAGTCTTCTTTGCCACTATTGAGACATATGGTTTATCACTAGGAGCATATAAATTTTGGTGAGAAGGTAGATCTTTAAAGCAAGTTAAGTAATAATGAAAGCAATATAAAAATGAATATTTGTTTTGGTTATTCTAGAATTTAAACGCAGTATCCTTAAGTGCCACAGTCTTGAATGGTCCTGGATTTTAATGTGTGCTAGTTAACACAGTAGAAAAATTATTTCTTGATCGTAGGGCTAGCTGAACCTGGTAGGCCCAACAGTCTTAATGTTACAATGTCTGCTTCCTTTATTCCCAACTGACTATGTCTAAACGGCGTACCTGAATCTACTGTACTGTCTGCGTGGAGTTCTTGGAAAGTTTAATTCTGAAGGTACAATTGAAGAGATGCATTTGTGTATCTGTTCAATTTTTGTCTCCCTCAGCTGGCTGAGTAGTGATATGGAGAATGTGGGTGTTTTTTTTTAAAGGCTGCTATATGAAGAAAGTATTTTTGATTCTTCTTCTTTTTTTTCCTCTGGGTTTGAGGGGATTGCATCAACTGTTTATGAATTTGGAAGATAACTGGTAGAGGGATTGTTTGCTAGAAAAATAAATGTAATTTTGATCCTCTAAGGCATCAAATGAATTAAGTGCCTGTTGGAGACAGTGCCTCTTCACTCTTCAGTGATGACTTATTACTGTCATTAGTATTAGTAGGTAGATGATATTTAAAATGAAATATGATGCTTCTTAATGTCACAGCAAATAACAACAAAAGATAAATTAGCAGTTAAATTAGCATATTGACTGGTTGGGTGAAGTATGCATAACACTCAACTCTGGGAATAAATTACTTGAAATAAAATATTTTTCTAGGAGCTTTGGTGTCTCTGTAGCCTATATTTAGAGCAATCATAGATGGGTATAGTTTGCCATACTCTGGCTTTATTAACTTGCTCTCCAAGACATAAGCTTCCAGGGCGGGTTGCATCAGATCTCTCATTGTGTAATCAGCATTTAATAGCCAAATATTATTAAAAGAAGAAAGTAAAGCATGATAAAATCCATTTTCTTTGTACTTTTCGTGGAAAATACGTTAGGTGTTAATGCAAAACAGATCAAGCAAAAATAGAGTGTGTTTGAGTCAAAGTTCTCTAATGATGTAGCCTGACTGTTTATTTCTTTCTCTCCAAATGTACTGATTTTGTTCGTCTTAAATCTGGATCTTTCTACTCTTGAGAATATCTGTATAATATAGGATGGTCTGTCTCCTGATTGCCTGGTCACCAGATGGCTGTGGCCCTCATTTGAGGCTCTCAGGTTTCAAAATCAGCTGGGTCTGGATGAACCAGTCACTGTTTTTATCTGTGGTACCACTGGAAAAATTCCTGGCTGCAACCTGTTGTCTGACACCTTTAGGACCTACAGGGCAGCCACTGCAGGCTGGGAGCTCAGCTGCGAAGCTCCGTCTTCCCTCAGCCACAGGTTCACCTTCTGGAGTCCTGCAAATGACTGCGCCATTTCAGGCTTCCAGTTTAATCCCAGTGATCTCCCAGGAAAACAAGGCAGACAGAGTTAACCAGAGATTTGCCTAAATACAAAAACATTCCTTTTAGAACAGATAGCAATTTCAAGTCTATGAAACAGAAATATTGCAGCATACCTTTCATTTGCCTGAATTGCACTAGCACTTCAAGTCTTTTATGTTCTTTTTTTCCTGGGTGTGTGTGGTGGTGTGTGTGCTTTGCTTATTTATTTTTTATTAAAGCTGCTCTTTTGCAGCGTACTCAGCCTGGTGTGTTTTCACTGCTGCCTGTCGTCATTCTTGCCTTGTCATTCTTTGTGAGTGCATATATAGTTAAGGCATCTTTCTGTTTGCTGGGCAGGCATCAAGGCTGCAATCAGATCTCTTCAGTGAGTTTTTGGTCACTTTTTCAATTCAAGCAACTCTTACACTAAGACTTATCTGGAACAAAATTCTGCATATCTCAAATATGTTGCAAACTAGAGTTTGTATTTTGTTACAGACGCTTTGCTTGCAGAATCCATCCCTGTTTTGAAACTTTCTCATCCTTTCAAAGGCTACCAAATTGCATCCACAGTTTAGTGATCTATGAATGAAAGAATGAGACGGCATTGCGGTGTGCATATTGTAGACTTTACCTTTGTAAGGTTGTGGTTATCGGGTCTTTCACCAGCAGGCGTGCCATAGATGTAAAGTGGTTGTGCTGGCGCTCCAAGCGGACTGGAATTTTTGTATGTGTGTTTAGCTCAGGCCTAGCGCTGTGCTAATAAATCCTGTTGAAAGACGTAATTTATTAATTCAGGCTTAATGATGTTCTGATACAGTTGCCTGCTGAAAGGCTATGCAGGCATACATAAGTCACTCTGTCCCCCTGAACTTTTCTTTAAGCAGGGTTAAGACTCAGGTAATTCATAAGCAGACAATTTTAAGCCTTTCAGTTTTTTGATAAGAACAGCCTACTTAATCCATTTGACTCTTTGATGAGTGGAGATACTTGTACTCTCTGCTTCTGTGGAGATAAGCACAGCTGGGGAGAGAGGATTTGCTTCTGTGCTTAGATGTGATGAAGTTCCTGGCTATTATGATTATTATTATTTGATGCGGGGCATGAAACTGCTCGAGTCCACTTAGTTTCTGTAACTCCCTTTGTCCGTTTCTAGATTTAAGGTAATTCCCAGAGAAATGTTAGGAGGCTTGTTTGCAAAAATACGTGTGTTCCCTATGTCAATCTCTATGTTCAAAACAGATTCTCATTTCTTGGAGTTCATACAGTCCTAGTTCTTTATCTCTGTCTGAAGATGAAGTAAAGAAATTACTGACTGGATTAGCACAGCGTATGCCCCTGACTACAGCATGAGGCTTCCACGCCGTTTCTGCACTTGGTCTCCTCAGCAGAAGTAGCTTGAGCAAACTCCTGAATTCTTGGTGTATGTTTTTGTAGTGCACTGCAGCGTTACTGTGCTGCCGTACAATAGTGTATGCTAAGTTGGAAGAACATAAAGTTCTCAAGGGAGAACTTTAGGGAGTTCTCAAGAGAGGGAGAAGCACTGAGCAAACAGAACCCTCAACAGAGCAAAACGGGGAAAAAAAGGTTATTCTGGACATAACTAGTCGGTAAGAGGTGCTATCTCACTGGACTTGTTTCCGTGTTCTTGACTTTCTGTATGTCAATTTAGACTCCTAAGTAGGTCAACCAAATGTCTGACTCTTGCTAAAGATTTAACAGCCGGATAGGTCTGCAGTCTGTACTAATTATCTACAGTTTGAAACCTGTATTAACTTTACCTTTCTATTGTATTTTTAGGCTGCCTTTTTGAAGATGACCTTTGCAAATCTTTTGAAGTCTGTGTAAATGGTAAGTCTTGAATGTTTTGTTTGCTGACTGCTCTATCCTCTGTTGTGTAATTGCTATGTGATCAATTCAATAAGTCAAATCTATATGCGAGTTAAAAAAACAGAAAAAAGTAGGAATGACCATTTTGATTAGCAATTCGGGAGTTTCTTTTTTAAATTTTGCTCAACCTCAAAGAGCATCATCTTCTGTACTGAAAAATAGATTGGATTAGAATTAAGCACATTGAAATATGTTAACATTTAAATATTATTTAAATAGTATAGGATGACAATAACTATTTTGTTATCTTCAAGTTTTTCACCTTTTAGAGGATGATGTTGAGTAATTACTCGTCTCCTTTTCTATAGAAGGTTATTTTATTCATTATAATAAAAAAGAAGGTCTCAAAGAAAGACTGCAATTGTTCTTGATAATGCTGCTTCTTTTTTCTGTGTCTTCACTTGAACCAGCTCTGCAGATGCACCTTTCTTCTGCTCTCCATCAGAATTTCCTTTCAGCAAGTCAAAAAAGCCAACACAAATGTGTGAACTGATCTAATAGAACAGTAGGAATGACTTTTCTGGTGATATTCTAAGATTGTTAAAGTACTAGATGAAGTCATTTAAGTCCTGATGAAGGACCATGCTTAGAGAGAGACCTTTTGAAGGATTTAGTGTTGCAAAATATGTATATTCATAACTATAGATTTTTTAAATTAAGAGTATTACATAGGACATTTATCTTTGAATGTGTGGCATAAAGGTTTTTTTCCATAAAAAAGGAGTCAATAATATATGTCCATTTAATAAAGTGCAGTTTTCAGACCCTAAAACAACAAATGTGTTTAAACTGTCCGTACAGTTAGTGGTCAGTCAAATACACGGGGGAGGCAGTAGGAGAGAAATATGGCTGAGGAATTAAAATAAGTAGAATGTTAGAAACATTATATCTATTAACGTCTCCTAGGATAATTCTTGTGTAAAATTCTCTCTTGTGGGTTGTTCTAATAGTATGCAAAAAAGTCTATATTGAGGATTTCTGTGCTTAACACAGAAAGGGTTGTGGCTGTTTTCTACACTGATGCATTCTGCTGACTAGCAATGATCTCCGGTGCCTAGCTGTAGTCTTTCCAATGCAAATAGGTTTTTATGGTTGGCCACTGTTATATCTGACAAACAGTGCATAGTGGACGATTTATGCAACAGATAACAGTAAAGAAAAACAATACTAATAACTAGCAGTAAAAGTCTTCAATGCAGATGATCCTGTAAAGGTTACTTCATAGCTTCTTGCTGTATCTATCTTTCTAATTGGAGATGTGATTTCTAAAAACTCAGTGTGACTTTCATTAGCCTGCAGACTTAAACTGTGGAGTTGTCTCTGTGAATTTAGAAAGGGCCTCTTCTGTAGGTCTACTGATATTTTCACATAACTAAATTAAAGAAAGGTTAGTAACGAATAAGCCAGTTGATCAATGATATTTCATAATGATTGATCTTAATTTTAAAAAATATTCTGTCAGTATGTAATATCACTGCAAAGGATTTTAGCTTTTTGCTGTAACTGGGCGAATGGTGTCTACCGTGGATTTTAAATGCTGTCCTTGATGCAAATAAAAATGCCTCTTTCTTGAGAAATTAATAGAATCTTTGGAAGATCATACTTTGAAGTACTTAAATATTTTCAGTATTTACTCTTTATATGTAATAGAAGACATGGTGACTGCTTGCTCCTAAGCATTCATTCCCATTCTTCTTGCCCAAACTGCTCCTTGTTCTAATGTATCTCTAAAATTCTTCAGAAATTCCTGATTTTTTTAAAATGCAAGTGCTTTTCTGAACTAAATGCTCAGGAACTTAATCTGTGGAAGTCACTATGCTCAGTCACTTCGCCTCCTTTGTCATCACACAAGTGCGTATTTCTGAAGCGCAGTGTAAGTGTGGATGACAAGCAGCAGCTACCTTTAGGTAACATCTTTAAGGCATCTGTGATCTTCCAGACTTCTGCAGGAAGGCTGATAATTTTGGTCTTTCTCTCAGCCTCCAGCAAAGGTAGTTGAACAGAGTGAATTTTTGAAAATAAAACCAGGTTTGTGTTCTGAAAACATCAGTCTCAGTCTTTGTTGTCATCTCACATAATGTGATCAACTGGAGACTTCAAGAACTAATGATGCATCGGACTTGTAAAAGGATCCCCCAAACTCCAATAACTAAGGTGTTTCAAGCTGTCTTACAGCTTGAAAAGAATTGTAAAGAAAAAAATGACTTTTTAAAAAGTTATTTTTAAGAAGAGATTTTTATTGCCTGAAAGCTTTTTGATAAACATTCATTTGTATGAATAAAAAGGATACATACATGCATACATATGTATATATTTACATAAAGGTTTCTTTTATCGTCTAAAGCAATGTAATCTAGTTATAAGATCTAGTAGAGAAACCATAACTGTGTCTGTTGTTCATTTGTCTGTTTAGGTCATATGCCATTTTTGTAGGGCAGAGAACCTGTTGTAATAATCACTGTTGACTCTTCTGCTGTTTTACCTTATCTCATGAAAATCTCTTTTGGCTTCAGTGCTGGGTTCTCATTTATGTTTGTTTAATAGCTCCAGCAGCATTCATGCAATATTAATTTCTTTCCATAAACCTTTTATCAGTTTCCTGAACTGCACTGACTCATCAAGTGGTTAAAAAAGAACATATTGTTTCATGTTTATTTTAATGGCATGAGAATAAGCCAGGCAAAAAGATTTGTGTGGGCTTTCCTGGAATTTTCTATTACAAATCTAGAATTAGTTTTGGGGGGCAAAATGGCTTAGGTGTCATTTGGTTGATCTCGCTTCTGGTACATCATTACCTCTCCTCTACAGTTGGAGACACTAATATTTTTTCCCCTGTCTAAAATGCCTGAAGCTTGGAAACTTGAACTTGAAGCAGAAAAACTTGGTGTGAAAAGTAGATATGCTTATAAGCTGCAGACACTAAATAGAAAATTATTTGGCGCTCTGTAAGCCAGACCACCATGTGGTGTCGATAAAGGTAATCACTTCAAAATAATCATCCCTAATTGTTCCTCTCCTTATTTAACTGTTTAAACTTCTCATTTAGAAGGATGGCAGTTTTTCCTTTAAGTTTAATATCCAGACATCTTGTCTCAGAAAGAAGCTTTGCAGTTTTTTTATCCTTGTTGGATAGCATGATATCTTTGCTCCTCATCAACAAAGCCTTTATAAAACAGGACCATTTTATTTATGAAGGATGTGCTGCAAACCACCTGCCAGCAGGAAATCATAACAGGGATCATGCAGACACGATCAGGTCGTAGAAAATAGCTCTGTGAGGCCAACCAAAGAAGTTTAATTAAATATAGTGGCTGGCGCACTGTGCATCATTAAGTCAAGCCTCATGGACAACCACTAAACCTCTCCTAGGAAGACACGGTCTAATGTCTGCAGTGGTATTTGAAGATGCTGTGTCTCTGAACGACTGTATAAATAATTATGCACAGCTGAATCAATATTGCTTTATGTATGCAAGCTGCACTTGTTAGGAGGGACTTAGATTAGTGCAGTGTGTCGAAGACTTCCAAGCATGGCAGTACGAAGTCATGAGCTTTCCAAGTCCGGATGTTTCCAAATAGTTCAGAATATTAACGTCCTTTCTTCCTAAGCTCCGGAGCTTCTTGAACGTTTGGAATATTAGTGATTGCATGTGCTGATGACAAGCCATAAATGGTAAACATGTGCTACGAATGATAAGGGAGAGGAGTCAGGGTCCCTGAAATGGTTTCTTGAACTTAATGTGTTACGCTTTGAGATTTTCCAGATCATTGCCTAGTAGGATGGAATTATAGAGGCAGAAGCACCTCAGCATTGTTCAGCTAACAGATGTCTGCAGCTACATCTGCATTTGCAAGGCATTGCTGTTACAAAAGGTGTAGAATTTATGTCAAACAACTTTATTAATGTGCCCTGGCTTTCCAAAGTTTTTCAGATAGGCATCAGTGCTTGTTACAGCTAAATTCAGACTTCTGAGGAGTAAGTGTCAAGTAGTACCTCAACATACTGTGGTTTTTATTGTTCATGGAGAGAATTTCAGTTATTTGCAAAGAATTCCTACATGCTTGGAAATCACAGAAATTATAATACCACCCTATGAGGTAAACTTGATGTGGCCAGTTCTAACCTGAGTTCTAAAACTCAGGTGATGTTATGTACATATTGTACATACGTTAAAGCATATGTATATTTGGAGTAAAAATCCAGCCAGCTACTTGGATCCAAGTTCAATTGTTCTTCCATGCCACTGTAAGGAAATCATGGGAATATTTATCCAATTTTTTTTTTAATGCTTTGAATAGCTATAGGAATGTCACAATCTGGTATGATATTCAAAAAGGAGAAAAATCTACCATTATTGGATGGTATTCTGAAAACTGAAGATCTACAGCTGCAAACATGTTTACACTGTTCATTCAACAGGAATCAAGAGGGAAGAAACACCTAAATATTTCTGAGAACCTGTTGTTTTGAGGACAGTGCCTTAGATGTTCAAAATATTTTAATTTTCTTAAAGTTCATACATACCTCTTCAAATAATTCTGTATTTGCAGCTGTGGAAATAAACATAAAGATTAAATTCTGTTTCCCCCTAACATGCTTATTCCCCATGTTAGCTTATGTGACAGAATTCTGTAACAGGAGCAAGTCAGTGAAAAGGAGCCGGTTTGGGAGGAGGACTTTTGGTCTCCCATCAGCCCTCATACTGCCCCTCTCCTCAGGTTAGCTCTCACTTCCCTTTGTCTTATGGAGCCCTAAATTCACCTATATTTATGAGAGTGTCGGAGCTCCTCATAACTAGTAAGTGGAAAAAAGGTTGGAGCATATCAGTGGGAATGTGAATGGTAATAATACAGCAAAGGGGAGCAAGAGACAGTGACTGGATTAATTTGAAGCTTTCTTAGTTCTGTTCCACTTCACTGTGCTCCTACCTTGCAAATAAATTGTGTCAGATCAGTTTCTAA